TTCCTACTGGCGCATCGCAATGAAATATTTAATATACTGAATAATCAAATTAAATTCCGCCTCGCGAATTCGAAATGATATCGTTTTTGTAATGGATTTTTCCATTATTAGTTATTTTACATATGAATAACGATTTATTTTATTTTATTTTTTATTTACTTATATACATATTTTGTTGCATTTTATCTTAAATATTTCTATGAATAAATTAAGATTCTTGATTAAATTGTCGTTTTATGTTTTAATAGAAAATTCTTGCTTACTTTTTTAGAGTAGGCATTACACACTTACATACATTTTCTTAAATTATTTTACAGGTATTTGTAAATTGTTTCAAATGACATTCGGTACCGTGATCGTTCTCGGTTCTGTAGCATCGCGAACTCCGAAAGAAAACCTGGTTTTTTCCCATCGCGAGGGAATATTACAATTGCTTTAATGAGCGTATGCTCATTCATGACAATAACGGAAAGTGAAACTTTAAACGCAACTTTATCGCGGCCGAGCGAAGTGTGCACGCTCGAGGTCATTAGGAAGAAAGCGTGGTATATAACGATCTGTCGGCCACTGGAATAGAAAATGCGGCCGCGCCGTCGCTGGAAATAGCGATCATTTTCTTTGGCTTGTTAGGGTATCTCGAGCGTCACGGGAGATACCCGAGATATACGATGCAGCGTAGCACGAGTACGCACCGCTCGTCGTCACGTATCAATCGAAAGTAAGAGATCGTGAATGTGCCGATCCAGTTCGTTTATGGATGTTACTTAATCCCGCTGTTATCATAGATTAGAAGATACATGGTCGCTAAAAATCAATAATAATGTAAGAAATTTTATCACTGTGCTATGCATTCCATGAATGGTTAATATCTAATAATTTTTTATTTTATAATATAATATCTTTTGTTGTTACTTAAAAAAAATAATACTTGTAAATGAAAAAATTATATAAACTAAATTTTTACACTACCATATCATTACGCAATAGAAAACATAATTTGGATTATTTCGAGTAAATTACAACTGACAATGACTGATAAATCAAGATACCTAATTATCGTTATAACAATGTAACGATTTATGACGTAATTGAGATTATGGTGCTCGAGTGCATAAGAAAGTTCATTCACGATTTTTTACGACAATATCGCAATGACATTCTTGTAGTAGCAACACAAGTAATAATTCTTCCCGCATTAATGGTGGCTACATTTCACGCCAACATCTGTCTAGCGATTCGAATTTTTATAGTGATTCATTCACTGTCGTATTTATTATTGGCAGTTACATCGGTATTGTTTGTACATGTTAATGCACTCTGTGGAATCGTACGACAGAAAGACAGAGTGAGAAAGAGATGAGAAAGATTCAGCATACATTCATCTTATCTGCATCGGAATGCCTCGAACGCACGGAGGGAATTTTAAAATAACGCGCCTTCGTGTACGTAATAGATAATGCTTGCGAATATTGCCGGAACATTACTGGTTACTACGGTTATTATGGAGAAGAAAAAAGAGAGAGGAAGAGAAAAAGAAAGAGAGAGGCTCCCTGTAATACGAACAGAGATTTGTAACGTCATAAGAATTTTGTAGGACTTTGCACCGCGTTTACCTTGACGAATCGACGTTTCTCTCGAACGGTGGAATCGTGTGTATACACGACGACAGATATTACCGGCCTCACTTCGGCCTGAAAAATGTCCCAGACGTTTTTGTGAAAGCGCCGGGAAATACCGGTCACTCTCGAGATAACAGACTCTCGCGCGAACGTCTGATGATTTCGTTCGGTCTTTCTTCAAGAAGTCAAACACCCATTAAAACGTAAAGATTATTACAAAGCTTCGGGGTTATTTTTAACTCGGAGAAAATTCCAAAATGTATATAATTCACCAAGAATTCTTGAAGATTTCGGTTTCATGTATTTTTATAAAACGTGCGTATATCTTTATCTCACCTACATTACTTATTATTTTTATATAACTTTCGCGCTTTTATCGTATTTCTTAAGCTATTTCGTACAATTATCTTATTATTACATTGTTATCTCATAAATCGCCGTGTAAAAATTTAGACCATAATTTTACTTTATGTAAAGAACTTTCTTTAGCCCCGAAACGTTCAAAAGTTTGCTTAGCTACTAACATTAGCTACCATAATGATATGTTGCGACCATATATTTTGTCGATGGAATAATGTTGCTATGTTTATCTACTCGGTATTAATCTTTGCGATTGTTCACGTGCGACGAAGTACGACTTACTTTCATGAAAGCGAAATTTCAGGTCAGCGAACGGCGATACGGCATTCCTGAATATCGTACGCACGATTAATTAATATACAGTATATTAATTCGAAGATGTGCTAAACGTCTGCACGCGGTTACGAGGCGTGTAATCTCAGGAAATGAAATCCTATTACCGCAAACCGCACGACACAATAGGTATTCTTGGTAAATGGGAACTTAAACTTCGCGTGAGAATGTGACAGTAATTATTGGCTCGCACATACCCTTCATTAACAAAATAGATTTACTTATTTATTATAATAAATTATAAATATTGATTTATCAAATATATAAGTCCCTTTGTTATTCAATATAAGTTATTCCAATCGCGAAATAATAATTTCTGTTCGCGTTAAAAATATCTAAATTAAAAATTCTTTTGTATGACGTGAATTTTTGAAATAGTTTTGAATTTTTCGTTACATGTGATGTTCTTTAAATCACGCGGAAGACGGAGGCAAGCGGTTTCTCCCACGATTCCACACGTTGTGCAAGCAAGAGAGGCAAGCGGAGAACAATGATCGCACGTGCTACTAGAACGAATGAATTATTCGCGTCACGCGACGCGGCACGTAAGAGCGATGTCGCGAATAATTAGACAACAATCTGTTAATGCGCAGTTATTGAGCGAATCGCGTGAAAATCGCCGTGAAAAAGTAACCCGCATAATTAAAGATTCTAGCATGGCGCAACGCTTTAACAGATCGTTAAATATTTCATCGTCCAACTCTTCAAAATTGTAAAAAATTGTATATGTATATACATGCCACAACAAAAACATCTGCTTCTTATACCATGTTGATTATCTGACGTTATGTAAAATATTTGCTCTTCGTATAAAATGATAGTAGCGATTATAGTATTGGTGTTACGCAAGAATAATTCATTAATATATCAAGTATAAGTTAAAATAACACGTTAAACGATTGACATTACGTGAACGTGTTTTATGCAGCGTCTGTTAATTGCCAATCTCAGAAAAACAGATTTCGTATAAATATAATTTATCGTCAATCTCGAAAATATCCAATAGGAATAATCAAATAAGAAATTGAAAAATGAAATGTTACGACATGTAATTCAATCGTTTAGTAGATGACTAAACGTATCCAGTCGGTCGTCGACTCATTAGCGAGACGCCCGCAGGGCTTACGTTTGCATTACCCAATATTAAACGTAAATATGCATTCTTCCATGTTGCAACATGTTTGCATAAAATTGTTGGAGCAGTATAATATTAAGTATTTAATTACACTACTCGACACATTTTACACAACTTATACAATAATTTTTTCTTGTCTCTTGCATGCGTAGACGTCAAAAATAATCTTGAAATTTTCCGTTTGTCCGTTCGCTCACGTTACTTTTTCACACACGTTACATTTTTTCTTTTATCTTTTTTTTTATAACTTCAGAATATTTTTAATTTACAAAAAATTTATTATTTCTATCAACTAAACATTGTTTAATTTTGCAAAAAACAATAGGCCAAAGACGAGCAAATAAATCTAATGGATGTTCGATAAATTATTTATTCATGCAATGCATTAGATTTATTTGTTTGTTTTGGCCTATTGTTTTTTGCGTTATTATTATATCAAGCGGAATTTTTTTCATTTTATTGCATTGTTTAATTTGTTCGCGTTCATCCGTTTGATTTGTTTACCGGTAAAAAAAAAATCGTCGCGAAAATCGGTAGCTTCATTAAATTTTTTTCCGAGAAGACCCGTTATCCCTTTCGCTTCGAGGCATCTTCTCGAGATTAATATCTTTCAGTTGGCGATGAAAGTAGGAAAGTGCGGTGTAATGCATTCGAATTGAGATCAGAACTCTTACTAAAGACAGCGTTCCTAGATACTCAAAGATATTAATTTCTAGCATATGTTTCTTCGTGAAAACATATTGCGGATGTACGATATACGGCTATATGAGAAACAACTCTGCTTTTTTATATGCAAGTTATACATAATAGATCCAAACTTGTCAAAAAGTTATCAACTTGAGTATGAAAAAATTACTTGGTATTCGCATTAATGCGCCTCTTCGACGAACTTATTAATTGATATTAATTGGCAAAATTGAGCGCATGATACTGAACATGTGGACGTAATTTCAAGCATCGTACGCATACACTTTCTCTCTCGAGTTCATTTCACATATTCTCAGTCCTCGCGTATTCTCAGTTTTCAACGTTTAAACATTTCGCCCCACTTTTATTTGCATTTCAATCTCCTTTACCTGAACATTCGGCTACTTCTTTAACATTTATTCCACTGAAAAAAAATCGAAAGAGAAATCACGTCGAAGACGCGCTCACGGAGCGCGATTTCTACTTTTTTTTTCTTTAATATCAGATATCCAACTTTTCACACATCGAGAAGCGCGACGGAGGATGCGACTTATCACTATTTTCACGATGGGGATTTTCGCACCTTTCCGCGGATCGTCGCGGGATTTCGCTCCCGTTCGATGTCCTTCGAGGGATGAGAGAGTTCTGTTCCAGCGTTTGCAAGTGATCTCTTCGGCGTGATTCGCGCGTGCACCGTTGTGGAAAAGCGGTTCCGGAGCTCAGCACGCGGCCGCGGATGTACAATACGACCGATCGGTCTGAACGTGTTTCTCGCACTGACGGGACGAAGTCCGGTTGAGCAACAGACGTACGGAGTACGGACGCGCGGGCGCGCGCAATCCCGCTCCAACGTACTCAAGTACGCTCTTGAGGCACATGCGTGCACGCGGAGAAGGTGTATACAACAGCATGTCGCTCTGCGCTGCATTCACCTGACGTGCTAAATCGAACCTCATAGTCCGTTTACGTATATATAGGTACACATACATAGCGAACGCGAATTCACCACAAACGCGGATTAATAGCCAGGAGGGAGTATGCCGGAGAGTCCGTAGCGATGGCGATTAAAAAATACCATCGAGGGATGAATGGCCTTGCCGAAGGAGATCGAGTTCGGGAGATAAAAGCCGCGCGAATGCCCTCATCTTCTGCCCGGAATGCACTCGTCTTCAGTTTCACGACATACTTTTGATGCGGGTAACGTTATCATCATTACGAGAGAGATGTTATACTCTTTCAATTTTCAAACTCAAATTCTATAAATTTTTTTTTAGATAGATCCTCTAAATTCCGCGCTCCTGCTTTCTCCTTCGTGTATAAAGTAGCAGGCTCTCGTCGTCCTGTGTATGAATTCTGTGTATGAATTGGCAAGAAAAATTTTCCATACAGTGAGTAATAATTGAATAGAGACACTTATAATAAAGCCTTTACGGCAATTATTAACGACGCAATTGCGAAATCTCAAATGTCATTTTGTAAGATGTTTCTAAATTATTTACATGTTTAACGCGTGATTAATGTCATTTGGTATTCCTTTCATATCACTTCTGAATAATAATCCAACCAAAGCAGATGTTTCATATCACTATTATTAGACGATGGAAATGTCCAAGGATGTCTGGCTAACCCAGATATGTAAGTTCATCGTGATCTGCAATAATTACATAAGCATCTTTTTTTGTATTAATAATCAGTATCGTAATTACGCCATGCTGCACGCATTTCATTTATATATGATTTATTCATGATTTCTAAGTAAATTATATATTTAATAATATGCGCAATTTACCTACTAACATGACGCGCAATAACGTCTATGATCTTCGATCCTTTCGAATCAAGTGTTTTGTTCTTTGCAACGGTGCACGTTTATATCTATAAAAGACCAGTGCTTTCATTAAGAAACATCAAAGTTGCTCTTCTATCTCGAATTTAATGCTGTTTGAATGTAAATTGTAAGACCCTCATCCTGTTTAAAGTTGAGAACGTTCAATTAAAATATTTTTACATCGATCTTGCGTCGAAGAGTTACAATTTTTTAATTATTAAAATTATTATATATTTTTTAAGTACAAGCGATACAAATTCGTTACAGCGCAAGCTATATAGCTAAAAAAATTGCTCAGTAGGACAAACATTCGGGAGAATCGAAAAATAAAATAATATATGTGTGCGCCGTACGTAAAATGCAAGTAATCTGGTGGAAAAACTCGTCGCCCATGATGACACGAATACACACACGCGAGAGTAAAACCAGTTCTTATTCGTATACACCAGCTGGAATCCCGTTTGCGAGTGTACGTGAAAACCTGCTTCTCGATCGTATGCATGTGTGCGCACTGTTTGCGTTACCGCTTTCGTTTAAGTCAATGATACTCGTACACACATATATTGTACGTATACACACGTACATTTAAAATCGCAGAGCTGTGTACGCCACAAACGAAAGTATATACACGAGACAGCCTATAGACCTGCGCCCCATGATCTTCCGCGTGCGCGGCCGTTTTACACTTAACAGTTACAATCCGTGGACCTTCCAAACGAACAAAGAAGATACGTATACATTTGAAAAATCCACAGAAACGATGTCTTTTAGAACGACGTCGTTTCTCCCTTCGCGACAGTCGTTCCAGACCAAGTGCCGTTAAACTTGACACACTTCTCGCTCGTGACAGCCCACTAAATATATAAAATATGAATGCTCGCGTCTGTTTAAGTATCAGTGCTTAATTAATCGCGGTGACGCTTATTAAGCATAATTACAAGTTAATTTTTATCGTTAAAATTATTCGGAGAAAAACGAAACCGGAATCACGAACGTTAGAATGTTCGCCAGAACGTCAGTTTTACGCTTTAAATAAATCTCCGTGTCTCTCTCTCTCTCTCTCTCTCTCTCTCTCTCTCTCTCTCTCTCTCTCTCTCTTTTTCTCTCGGCAACTTATTATTCCACATTTACTTCTAGACGAGTCGCGCGATCTTGTTTGTCGATTTGGTTCACGTAGCGCGAACACACTTGTAAGAGTTATAAGTGTCCGTAATTTCGACGAGGTAGAAATTACGTAAACATAATTCAAATCTTAGTATGTAAAGTAATTCTGTTGCGGGATATAAAATATAATTATAGCGATTATCGTAAGTACATCATTATGAGAGTCTCGATTCTAACGCTTGTAGAATTCTACGTTGCCTGATATGTTCTGTTTAGCTTACAAGACTTCCTACATAATTGACAAAATAAAATAAACATATATATTATACAAAGCAAACATTTTCATTTCAAGTTATTAAAAAAATTCAATGTTTTATGAGAGAATATAAGGATCGCAAAATTAATTGTGAGACTTTTTTCATCCGCTATGACGTTACGCAATTGATATTGTTTACTTATATAATTCTTTACATTAATATTCACACGATATTCGTGGTGCGATTGCATTACGTACAAAGTGTAAAAGAGCCTTACGGCGTTTCGCATGATTGGGAAACGATTGTCACGCTTCACATCCACGATAGTGGTGGGCATCAAAGCTTTCTTCTTACCCATCATCGAAATCTCCGCGCGGCAAAAAATGGTCGCGAAAGCAAGTGTAATGACTAAACTACAGCGACTGGTTTTCTCTTAATATTTATATTAAACTCATTTTATAACGTAAATTGTTAAAGGACAATCGTCACAAACACATTAAACAAAAATAGATACTTTTAACTTATACATATATCTATCTATCCATTAATTGTGTATCAAGAAATATGTAATTCAATATACAAGTAATAAGATATCTTCGGAATATAACTTCGGATATAGAATTATTTTTCACAAAGTGGTACATTCTGCAGTCTTGATAATCTCGACTAATTCTTTCACCAGCTCCTTATCAGTCACGTTAATAAAATCATCCTCATTGATACCCATCCTGACTCTGTTCGCGCCATAGACTACCATTTTCTTTTTTTTCGCTGACGCGTGGAATTCTTTGGCACCGGACACCATAATTTTACGAAGGTTATCCTTTGTGATACCAGCTCCGGGCATGATCACTATTTTTTGGGCCTTTTGCACTAATGTTTTTATCAGCTCTAACCCTTCCAGAGCAGTATTCCTTTGTCCCGAGGTCAGAATTCTCTCGAAACCAAGATCGGAAAGAAGTTCCATTGATTTGACGGGATCAGTCGTCAGGTCAAAGGCGCGACTAAATGTCACCGGCAAGGGACAAGCGACGGAGACAATCTTCTCACACGAGACAGTATCGATCTCGCAATCGGGGGTCAATGCGCCAAAGACAAACCCGTTCACGCGATGATCCTTAAGAATTTTCAAATCGTGCAGCATGGCGTCGATCTCCTCGGGACTGTAGACGAAATCACCGCAGCGAATGCGGATCATGGCGTAAAGCGGAATCGTCGTGAAGTTTCTTATTTGTTGAATTAAACCTGGACTAGGTGTTAAACCACCCTCCGAGAGAGCCGAGCAAACCTCCAACCGGCTGGCACCGCCTTCTACCGCGTTTCTAGCGGACTCTAAAGAATCGATGCAGATCTCCATCTGCAAAATAATAGAATGATTGATGATCAGATGGTGATACACGAATCTCTTCATAGACGTACCGTGATACATCTGTAATTTCTTTTTTTAAATCACAAATGTTCTTTGTATCAATTGATACATTTCATCACGTGTTACATATAAAGAAATTATTAAAGCAAAATAAAAAAAATTAAAGATTTGTTTTATAAGAAATTATTTATAAAAAAAAGAAACAAGTAGAAAAGAAATTTAATTAAGAATTTAGTTAAGAGTATCCCAGGAAGAAATGATCGATCTATGGATGTCGATTCGATGTCGAAACGATGTCTATAGATATCGAATCAACGCGCAACGTCCGGTGATCATTTCTCCCTAGGAATAACTTGTAGATACTTTCTAATTATAATATTTAATATAATTTTCTAATTATAATCTAATATTTTCTGTATTTTTAAATTATTCTTGACTACTAAAAAAATATAAATGCTTAAAAAAAATCTTTTTTTATCAATTCGTATCCCGCCGCTGTTAATTAAAAAATTGTTAATTAATGAGAGAAAATATATAAGATATTTCTAAATTATATTAAGAAAATGGTGTATATATATATATATATATATACACACACACACACACACACACACCATTCTCTTAATATAATTTAGAAATATATATATATATGTAGTATACACGGAGAGAATTTCTTTTTAAATTTATCCTGCAAATCATGTTAATTGTAGGACAATATAGTATTTAGGCAAATTTTACTGTATACTACAATAAGATTTTACAGTAAAATTTATTGTAGTACACAGTAAAATTTGCCTAAATACTATATTGTCCCATAATTAACATGATTTGCAGGATAAATAAAAAAAAATTCTCTCCATGTACATATCATTAAGTATACATCATATGTTGACAAAACAGTGTACTACAAAATTTATTAAATGTATATTATCGACTGAGGGAAATAAAAATTATTCTTAGATTAATAAATAACAATTCTCTATGTTTTATACAACAAAAATGTTGATCAAAGTAAATAAAAAACTGTTGACTTACCTGTTAATTGATTAATTGCTCCTATAGATTTACTAGTTGATAATGTTATAGCTTCTAATAGCTTCGATTATTCCATTTCACAGCTGTATATTCCGAATGTGATATAATTTTTATTCGACACTTGTTATTTTTAATTAATAAATTTATGTCAAAATTATACATATATGTGTATACTTGCTGCACTAAAAATACGCTACGAGAAGACATTCCAAACATACATATCTCGCATAAAAGAGCTACATCAGCGGATTGCAAGCGAATGGTTGCTGCACTACTTAATATGACTACCGGCAATGATGCCTCTGTGAAACGAAACTTTACGCGCGAGTCTCGCCATCTATATTATACTTTCGTGATACACTGCGTAACGATAACGATATCGCATTTGTTGACGATGACTGCGAATTGTCAACACTGCGTCTGTCACTCGATCACTTGACGCAGATATTTGAAGCGACAGCAGAACTATAAAAGCTATAATTATAAAAATAACGACTAAAATCGTTTAATAAATTTTTTCTGAGCCCTCGATTGCTTATAATTATCATATTTTGCAGTCAGGCGAGTCAAACAACAATTTTTTATTATAAAATTTCTGTTTTATCTACATGTAAATCGTATTTTTTGTCTAACTGATGTAGATTTATATATTGCGGAGATTATATATAATAAGTATAGATGTATAAAATTCTTATTTATTGAGGGACAGGTCCGGATACAAGATTCACGAAGCGTAATGTAATATTGTATTATACAACATATATAATAAAATAATACCAAGTGCGACGTACGTAAATAATATTAATAATAATTATAATATAATAATAATAATAAAATCAATAAAATAATAATAGTAACAAATATTAAGCGAATTTTATAATGAGCGATGACAAAATAAGGAAAATTAAAACGGAGAAGATACTTTCTAGTACATATCAATTTTATCGGAATTAATTTCTTCAATTTGTCATTGATTTTTCATTTAGAGCTGATGAAAGCCAAAAGAATCGCGCGTATTTTCATTACTTCCTCGGTAGAATTAAATCGTATTTGCATTCTTGATTTACGAATAGCGACGAAAACGCGAATCGTGTGCCATCCTTTCGATTTATTTGTATTCGGCACAACTGGCAAGATTTACACTTTAAAAAGATTTTTGCGTGCAGAGACCGTTTTCTCTCGGAGCGAGTCTCCGATTATCGCGATTGATTCCATATTACCGTTAAATATACAATTACGCGCTCTCATGTATCTATTACGCGGTAATAACGTAATAAAAATGTACAATTTATCGTAATCATCATCGCGTTCCGACTGTAGGCGGATCTACCATACCTTACCCACGTTCACGAAGGAAACATCAAAATCGTAAAAGATATTATATCTCTTCCACGGTGGTTGATATTCATCCCACAGTGTATTTCCGAGATGGGTAATTCCCTTCACACAAATCTCTCCGTCTAGATTCATCCATAAATTCGACTAAAATTCAATATAGCGATTTATAGCCAGGGAAGGATTGAGGTGGAAGACTTGGAAAATCAGAGATCGCCATTCGAGACCGCGATCGGCGACGGGCTCGTGGAGTTGTTCGAGTTCGTCGTCGCCCATTTATTCTTGTGCGGATCAACGCCGAAGCCCTCGTCGTAGTTTCCCCGTGTGATGAAGAGTTGCTTGAAGTGCGGGATACAGTACAGCTTGCCGTTATTCAGAGTGAAGGAGTCCATCCTGTTCGAACACATTACGTTGTAACAATAATTTCGTGATTGTACTTAATAACTGTATTTAACTGTATTTATCCTTGTTTGCGTCAAGTGAAAAATAAAAAATCGAAAAGGAGTAACAAAAGACAATTACAATGCTTGACGTAATATCTGTGTATACATATATTACAATATATGTTAAAATATCATTACACTATTCCCACAGATAAATCTCTTTTAAATTATTCTCATTTTTATACATATATACATTTACGTATATTACTAATTATCAAAATGCTTTCGTTAATTGATGTTTCTTTAACACTTTTGTAACATTCATTCGTTCTCATTTTCACGTTTAAGCGGAGCAACGTATTTAGCTTTAGTACAGGATATTCCAATCTTGTCTAAATATAATACAAACATCTCTGATAAATTTGACATAAGCAGGAAATGTCTTTTTTTGGTTACCTTAAAATGCAATTGCACTGGAGACACCGGAAGCATTGCTTATGGAAGATTTTGTTATTTGTCTCAACCTTTTCCAAGGGGTAGACCTTCTTCTCACAGCTCTCGCACACCTCCGCGCACGTCGTCTGGATCTCCTGCACGATTGTTACGTCAGAAGAGGATGGGTATGGTGAAATTTATCTTTACAAATATTCCGCGATAACGAGGAATTTGTGTGTTTGCCGAATGTATGATGAATTGTGTGTAAAGAGAGATGATGCTCAAAGAGGGATATATATGTATTATATCACGCGAAGAAGAAGACGAAGAGAGGGCTCGCATGCGTATCGCTTCTCGCACCGAGAAATCCCCCTTGATCCCACTCCTCCGAGTTACGAGACAGATTTAGCACCTGCTTTATTTATCACTTGTGTATTATCGTAATAAATGTTACACGTGAAGGATAAACAGAACAAGATCGTTATACATCAATAGAAACGATACGCTAAAAGACGCAGTGAACTATAGTATTATCGCTATCTATGCTATACAAATCAGAAGAATTCGAGAGGCCGTTAACAAGGACTTGCAAATTTGTCACGCGAAATAGCCTCTCCGTCGGCATCTCGGGTCAACGGAGCGGATCCTTTCTTAAATCAAAATCAGCTTAGCGCTTCCCGCTATAATAAATCGCATTAAATCTCCTAAATCTCTTAAATAAATTCGTAATTAGCGTATTCGCAACGGAAGCTATTATATTGCACATACGAAAAAAGGAAGACGGAGAAATATTCGCTGTTAAGAATATACATTTTTTTTTTTCGATCTGTTTCCTTCCTCTCTGTCTACAGCATTTTTATTACATGTCTAAAAAATTCGTACAATTCTTTTAAAAAAATGGGTCCTTCAACTGGGAACTCGAGCAACGCGACAGCGTTTTTACCCTGATACTCTACGACCGTAGTCATTCGCATCCCTGTGCTTTTTCTGTGGAAGTACAAAATGTGCCGAAAGCGGCATAATGCCTCTATGTCGACAACGTTCTCGCATCTAGCAGCAAAAATGTCGCTTCTAAGAATTTGCGACGGAGCGACAACGGTATTACATGATCTTGCGGCGAGTATAAAAAATAACGGACGTGACAGAACAAAAATCATAAAGCCACCGATAAATTTATCCACGAGGAAGACATTCAACATTATTCGGGATATAATACAACTGAGATTAATATATTTGTATTTTTTTTTTGTAAAACAACAAATACGTAAGTCATAATTGATGCCATATTGCACAGGTGCCTAGATGCAATAGATACAACGCGTGTTCGCGAAGTATTTAATCGTTCGAATCGCAAACGCGGGGGAAGCAGGCTCGAACGCGACGACACGAGAACGAAACTGCCTGTTTCCGTTTTTCTTTTCCACACGAGTATAAAAATCTACCGTCGCGCTAAGCTGTATGAAGATTCGAAATTTGTAAAAGCGATCGAAATAGCTAGTCGGTCCTAACCGTTAGTCGGCCCCGGAACACCTCGACAATATCTACCCGACACTTCCTCTGTGGCAATTCCATGTTCCAGGCCCTTCCTGATCTCACACGTTAAACTTGAGTAAGCGTTACCTTTCGCCCCTCGTTCGTCACTCTCACGCACTTTTTTCCCTTTTCGCGCTCTTACTCTCGCTCTGTCTCTCTGCTCGCTCATGTATCAACGAAAAACTTGGCACTTATGAAAATTAGAAATCTAAAACGGCAGAGGAAGATCGTAACGATGCGAAAAGAAGAGTTCGAATCCACGGATCATTTCGTTATTTGAAGTGATATTTATCGACATTTGTACTGTGATCTGCGAGAGTTTTTCATTTTCTATTGTTTCTACATTTTTATTCAATATACTTCATACATAGAAAAAAAAAGATATTCTCATATATATATATATATATAAGCAAGAATATTATATAATTCTTCTTAGAAAATCTTAAATTTTCTTGATTGAATTGATGCAAATAATACTTCACTCAATTCAAGTCTAAATATATAAAAATTATACTGTTCTTGCTTATACACGAGAATATATATCTTCGTTTAGGATGAATTTTTTTTTCTATGTACATAATCAATCTAATTTATATTAGATTTATAATAGATCTCTCTTTCTATTTATTTACGTATTATTTAAAAAAAAGCGAATCATTTATATAAAAAAAATTAAAGGCACATTATACATAGTGATTCCATCAGTCATAAAGATTTAAATCCGTCAAATCAAAATTATAATTCGAAAAAAATCGCTCGATCAAGAGCTTAATAAAATTTGGCACCTACATAACACGATAGCCGTTCGTAATGAATTTGTTTTAATAAAGAGTTTAATATTGAGATGCTTAATCAAGCCCACTTCGTTACGTACAAATTTTCAATTAATTAACAAATGAGGGCGTATTATGGGGTTAGCAGTTAAGTAAATAAAAATTGAATGCGCATCGTTACGAATTTCACTGCTTAAAAGCGAATCCATCTTGCGTTTTACAGAGATCTTAGCGTCGCACGTATGTGGAAGAGAATATTTTATTTTTTTCTAAAGAAAAAAAATCTTCATAAGACAATGATAAAGCCGACATACGTACGACACGTGTACGTAAGATGGACGCTCGTCTTTTATATATAAAGTAAATTAGTAGACAATAAAGTTCTCTCTCGGTTACGTGTGTTAGGATAAGTCGAGCGTTTCTGCGTAATAAATACATATTTCCGCGGCTTTCCGATAAAGCACGATTTCTATTATTTACGCAATGATATTTCGCAGCTGTCCAATTTAATTTATTCCCTATAGTGTAGATTTCCATAAAAAAAAATAAATAATGATTGATAAATCAAAATCTTTTTCATAGCACCGTAATCTGCAAATTAATACGTATTAAATTCCTCGTAAGCTTTTTCTTACGTGACTCGGCATGTTATTGCCTCGAACGGTTTATCGCCATCTGTCTGGAATCGATCTTTTTCTTTTACACTAGCATATAAATATATCTATATATCTTCCTTTCTAATTGGCAATTGGACGAAACGCTCGACGGATCCGAGACACTCGCGCGAACTCTCGTAATACAATAATATATTAACACATAACATATGATACAGTCTACGGGCTAAGATTCACTATACGAACATAACGCCGAGTGTGTTAAAACCATCCCTAAGAAAACGCAAAGTCGTTACAATAATCGTTACGATAACCGAACATTTTATTGCCGTTGCTTAAAGCACGAGATTCAAAAAAAAAATTGCCTTTCCACCGCTGCTGTCCCAACAGCGCTCTTCTTCCTCTCCATCGATTCAGCTTCTTTCTTCCTCACCCTTCTCGTAATCGAATTAATCCAGGTGCACTTCCTCCGTTTCTCTCTTTCTCTCTTTCTCTCTTTCTTTCCTTTACTGCTCCGCGTCACAAAAAGAATATCACTTTGATTTTGTTTGCGATTAATTTCATTTTACGTTACTACACGACACAAGCGGGCGGGCAGGATTTCGGCCAAAATATGTCAGGCAGATTTCAAACGAAGAAAAAAAAATGTTAAAACATAACGCCAAATAAAGAAAAAAATAATATCACATCAATCATGCTCGGTAATAATCAAATATAAAGGAATAAAGGTAAAATTTAAAAAATGCTGTTGCTCACACATAGAATTTTAATTAAAACTTAATGGAACGCGTATACGTTAAATCTTTTCTAATTATTTATCTAAGCTTCACATAATTTTCTTTTATTAAACTATTTTTATCATTCTTAACGAAATTACAATTTTATATTTTTTCGTATAACTTTCATATAATAATAAAAAAATAATTACGCTATATCTATGAGTTTGAATGTTGAATTTGTTCTTTATATCGCGTTATATACTTCATAAAGAAATACGTTTTAATACGTAACAACATTTCAAAAGAAAAGATGATTTTAGAATTCTAGAAATATATTGAATTAATCTATAACTTTTTTAGTTATGTGGATATTGTTTTTCTAATATTCCTAATTCTTATAGTTTAACTTTCAATCGCGGATATTTAAAACTAAGCAAATAAATAGCTTAAAAATAGTCTACCGATATTATAATATGACATTTGCCCCAATGTTATGACTTATATATTACATATTATAATAATATTATAATTGTAATATTATATTATTAAAAAATTGTAAGCTGCAGTGCGATGAAAAAATTATTCTATCTGTTCCATAAAAAGTTGTAATAAATTTATATTCGCAAAATCTATTAAACATACGAGATAGAAAATTAACGTATTAAATTATTGTAACAATTAATTTTCATCGCAGAATATACGTATACGTTGCTAATAAAGAGTGCAAAAATAAATTCTCGTTATATAAAAAATGTGCACATAAAATAAAATAAAATACAATAAAAACTCGGTCGTGCGTTAATTTATTTTTCAAGCATTGTTCAAATTGCGTCGAGATATGAAATTCTAAAATTTATTAGTCCAAATAGAATGAAATGGAATTAATTCAAAATATATTAATTACTTCCAAATATTATATTTCATCGTTCGTTTCAAAATTTTTGACGCAATATAAACACTGCTCAACGAATAAAGTACACTTACAGTTATAACATGTATAAAACGGATAAGCACAGGCAGAATAACAAGAATTCAAAATCACACCATGCACATACTTTACAATGCCGAATCATCCATAAACAAAAATGGGAATGTATCGGGAAAGATGTCTAATCTTTCAAATCGCTGACTATTGTACGCACAAGCCAGTCAGAAAAGCGTATAGGTATTATGGTAAAACGAAAAAAAAGAGTCAAAGACACGTGTTCTTCAAATTTAATCAAATAGTTAAAAATCAGGAGGAGTGGTGACATGGAGAAGTGACTATAATTAGATGTAGGAAGAGTGACGATGATTACACAAACGACAAGTCGCGATACGATTTTGGACCGAGTGGAGGAGACGTGCGCGTTTCTATGGATCAAAAAGACGTACTTACCACAAATCGATTGACTTTGACCTTCGGTGCGCGCGGGGACTCGTTGGCCTGCGAGCCGAGGGACTCGAAACGGGCTCTCAGACTGCTCGCCGACTCTATGCTAGACTGGTCGCCCGTACCCTGGGCCATCTCCATTTCGGCGACGTGGTGATTGCTGACCTTGCCGTCGGTCTCCTCCCAGTGCTCGAACTTAGCACGTAGGGTCTTGGCGCGCGCCGCGTTCTGCGCCTGTTTCAAGAACTCGTCCTCCACCTAGCCCCGATAAACAGGCGAAAGGATAACAGGCGTGAATTATAGGGTGGAGCGATGCCGATCTGGAGTAAAGAGTTTTGCTTTCCCGAAATTTTGAACGCGGGCCGACGACCTGCCACGAGAGTTCGTGCTGACTTTTTAGAGCCGCCTAATAACACGTTTAGGCAGCCCCGCTTTTGCCACTTTCGAGATTTTGGATCTTAATTTATTTAATAATTAGGAAATTATATATATCTGGCGTGAAAAGAACTTGTTAGAGAAGAACAAAAGGAAGACTGAAAAATTTAAAACAATAATTCGAAGTACCCCAATTTTAACGCTACGTTTTAAGCAATAAATGTAAAGCAATATTTACAGAAATAGAAAACTTTGTATAGCTCATTGTTAGATCTTCTTTCATATTTTTATGTCTTTCGCATCTCTTTTAAATCTTTCAATTTCTCGCTAATAAAAAAATCTCACGCAAATACAAACCTTATCAGATGCACGGACGTAATTGGGATCTCTCTCCTCGGCGCTTTCGTCGCCGTCGGATTCCTCGCCCTCTTCATCCTCGCCCTGCTCCGAGTCCGAGGCCGTCGCTTTAGCGAACTTATCCTCGGGAGGCGGTGTGAAGCGTTTCAAGGGCTTCGGACCCTCCGGCAGTTCTTCCTTGGTCGCATTCTCCTCCATCTGCCGGAAGATGGACAGCATCTTCCTCGCCGTGTCCGTGTGCACCCTGTCGTCCACCCTGTCCTCTGACCTGACCACATCTGGATCGCGGTAAATCTCGCGATCCGGTGAATTCATCTGCGAAAAAAATACAATATAATAAAATATAATTAAATTGGAAAAATTACATAACTGGATTATTATCCTATTTCTGTCATCAAGGAAATTAATGCTAATTCTCTTCATTCTAATAATTTAGTTTAAAATTCCACAAGATTTATAGCATAATTTATCGTACAGTCATTATTATTTCTATATAAGGTAACGTGTTGAATGATGTTATGTTTCATGGATAAAGTTTTTATTTTCGCAGATGTATTGATTTTTTGATAAAAGAATGTATTTTTATAACTGACAAATTCTTCGAAATTTTCTCGTCTCATATCGTATCAAGTACATTCAACCGTTCTCGGAAAAAATATATTATTCTAAAATTATTCTAATTAAATTAAAATTCTAAACTGTATATTTTTGTAATTGAAAATTAATAAATTCAAAGAAGGAAAATAATTATTTTTATCAAAGAAAAAAATTTAATTATACAAAAATATTTTATATATAAAGAATTAATTTTATTTATTAATAATTTATGTATTTAGTTTTTATTATCTTGTACTTTATATTAATTATGTTTACTTTATACATTGTGTATTTGCACGACTCTGTCTCATTCTTTCTGAAATTTTAAACCGCCAATATCATAAGATTATTGTAGTTTTGTATCTTCGATATCAACACATTTATTTATTCACATAACCATTGAGATTACATGATAAAACGCATGGATTGAAGATGATCAAAAAGAACACCTCGTGTATGTTGTTTATCGCTTGATAATTTTAAATTAAATATTTTTACCATGATGCATCGTCGGAGGATCCAGGTAAGCTAGAGATCGACGGCCGAAATGTTTCTTTTTACAAACTGTATCCGACATGAGTCAACTCGTGTGTCAAGCGTGGGCGGTACGATTATAAATCAGGTGTATGTGTGTGTGTGTGTGTGTGTGTGTGTGTGTGTGTGTGTGTGTGTGTGTGTGTGTGTGTGTGTGTGTAAGAAGTATATACAGATTTTTCAGAAAGAATTTTTCTTTTAATCAAAAATCTTATTTTATAATGACAGAAAGTAATATATTTCCAGGAATTTGAATAAAATTTTAAAGAAAAAATAGGTATATTCATGAATAAAAAAAAACTTCTCACAAAAACAATCTCACTCAAATAACAATCTTGGAAAAAAATCAACGTGCTTGTGGAAAGTAAAATATTATAAAAAGAAGAAGTCATGCAATACGTGCGTATAAATAAATAGATATTCGCATGCTTCGAAGATTTAACTAATAAAGTACTGCAGTATCAACAAGGGTTCCTGTTACACAAAACAGGGCCTTTCTTCTCGAGACATGAGGGTTCTGGTCCTTCTCGATCGTCCGATCAGCCTGTGCGCGCTTATACCTGAATCCAAGTGGGTCAGGTAAGTCGAAAACCTGATTGGCGATCACGTGGAGCGATCGAAGGTTGCGACATTTTAGGAGGACCACCCTCGTGCTAGTTTAGGCGCGATCAGAACGAGATTGAGACTGCCGCGTCGACGAGTCGCTGACTCACAGTTAGTTAGACAAAAGGGTTGCGGTACGCTTCAAGGTTGGCGACAAATTGACAGGTTCAAGAGCGGTACACGCACTCTGTAGTGGTCAATTGCCGTCATTTGCGACGATCTGTCTATTCGCTTCTCGCTTATGCCGACGAATCGAAAGGCTGCGGCGAAAAGTGCGAATCGTTTAGCTCGAGAGCGGCGAGGAGTGAAATTCTTGCAACTTTAAAGTAAGCACGTTACAATTGGAAGGAAGTAATTAAATTAATTAGAGTTAAAATAAATAGTTCGTGTAATGTGATTCTCCGCTGGGAAAGAATGAGAGAAACGACTATGTAGATTATACGTTTCGGTCATTCCTCGCATCATTAATTAATCGTTTTTAATTATCTTGCATTGGAAAGATATCGAATAGAATCGAAAAAAGATAAATTATTAAATTATTACAATACAAAAATAAATTATTAAATAATAAAATGAACATTAAATTCAAATTAAACCAGCGGCAAACTTCCAGTCGCAAAAGTGACAGGAAAACCGATAATTGCCACGCGGTTCTATTGGATTATTCGAGAGTTCTGCGTTTACCGCACCTAGTTTAGAATTGGAGGAAGTTTCCGTCACAGTACACGGGCGAATTTGTGTCCCTATCTGTTTCCTAAATCAAAACTATAAGTCCGTGAATGCGAATTATACAGAAATTATATAAAGATACAGAATAATAGGATCGATAATGTGATCGCAATATGTATAAAGAGAATATGTATAATTCTCTAAAAATAACCGTCTCTTCTATTTTCGATATGCTTCAGAAGTCTCTAAATTAAAATATACAATTTTTCGTTACAGTAAAATGGAAAAAAAAAACGCGTGGCAACATCTTGGTATCGCGACTCTTGGTCGGATTTCGCGCTGTGGTAATGCAGTCGAGAGGATTTACGGGAGAGTACTTCCAACGGAATTCCATAAAATCACCAGTCCAGAAAGGATATTTGATCACACGGTATCCCTCTGCCGGCACGTCAAGCGGCAAATCAAGCCGCGGCGAGATTGCGCCCCCCGAGCGACGTCCGTTCCTTCATCGTCGACGGAAACGCTCTTACAATCGCACGACGAAAAGATCTCGATTGTACGTACGCCGAG